GATCAATGTATTGCCAAAGCATAAAACAGAAGCAATGTGGAACATACTGAAAAATACTCTAAAAACAGAAAACAGAAGCACTAAGAACATTGAACTTCACTACAAAAATAATGTTCTGCGCAACCCACAAGCAGTAGCAAACACTAAATAGACATTTCTCAGAAATTGACAAAAATTAATTCACTGCAACTCTTTAAATAATATAAATATGCAGTCAAATATCCACACATCATCAAATGTAAACTCCATATATATCTGTGAAAAATCACCTGCAGAAATACAAAAAATCGTGAATCAAATGAAAAACAAATTCTCTACAGAACTAGATAATATCCCTGACACCCCCAATAAACATACAGCAACAAACATAATAGAAGCAAAAATAATAGCTCAAAAATTCTAGAAAAGCATTTTAATGATAAGACAAAAATTTTCTCAATTCAAATAATGTATTGACAGAGACCCACCATTGATTCAGAAACAGTAGATCTACAGACATAGCCAGCTTCACCTTTCTAAATGCCGTAGTTGTTGCTCTAGATCAGAAAGAAATCTTCATTGGTTTGTTTCTAGATTTATCAAAGGCATAAAAATCTTATCTCTCAAATCATTGTCAAGTAGTCACAATCAAGCATGCTAGGGATTCAATGATTTCTACCCATTTTTCCCAACCTAGAATGATACATTTTGGAGTGCCACAAGGATCAATCCTAGGCCCCATACTATTTCTATTATACATCAATGACATGTGGCATGCCCCTGACCCTACAAAAGAGCAAAATGGTCCTATTTGCAGATGACACAAATATTATTATTAAAGCAAATACCCAACAAACTCTACAAATAGAAGCACAAACAGTCCTAGAGGCACTAGTAAAATTGTTCCAAGAAAATAAACTCATCATAAACACCGGTCTCCCTAAATTTTCAGAATCCACTTTCTAAAGAAAAGCCTCCAATACAATTGATGATAAAAAATCATGCCTGTAAAAATAGCCCCGAAAAACAACTTTCCTTGGATTGACTATTCTTGATAGCCTAATTTAGTGGATTATTGCATTAAGAAAGTAGATCAATAATTTTCCAGTTTTTGAAAGTCTCAAACTTACAGCCATTTATTAGGCTGCTTCAGGACTATATGGTACATATTACATAGTAAGAAAATTTTGTTATTGTAAATAGTAGTTTTGAAAAAAGGAACTGGTTGGTTGTTTCAAGATTACACTATTTACAGTAACATCATGTACTTAATATGTAATGTACATCTTCTAGCCCTTAAGCAAGCCAAATAAACAACTGAAATGTTGATAGGTCTACTGTCGCAATGTTGCAAAAAATGGGATATTTATTGCCCTACGTCTTACTATCTAACTAAATAAGTTATGTCATATATTCATTACTTTTGACTTCTTTTTATTATCATCAACCTGTTCTGCCACTTCTAGTACAATGATTTATTGTGTCTACAATATTTTCAGGTTTTACAATTTTAAATTAAAATTTTTTAGGTAATGACATTGGACTAAACTACTAGGAACTTCAACACAAAATTTTGAAACAGAATAGAATAAATGAAATAATTAAAAGACACTTTGGGAAGGACATGACATAAGAAATCAAATTAAGAATACCCAACATGACAGTCAAACCAATGATATTATATGGATCAGAAACCGGGCTCCTAAAATAAAGGGACAACCAAAGACTAGACGCAGCTCAAATGAGTTTCCTAAGACACCTCCTTGACTACACTAGACTGGATTGACAGAGAAATAAAAACATAAGGAGATGGAAGACAACAAACATAACAGAAGAAGTTAATAAGAACCAGAAAAAATGGTTGGAAGATATTAAAAGAATGAAAAAAGGAAGATACCCAAAGGCTACCCTAAAATATTAGCCACTTAGACAGAGAGATATAGAAAGACCAAGAAAGAAATGAATCATGAAGGAACACCTGGAAGACTAAAGTATTTCAGGTCTACTGCTTAACCAGGAACAGGCCTTCCATGGCCTTTCATCTTGCAGTTTGTGATGATGATGACAGTTATAAAAAAGTGAAGTCAAATTAAATAGTAGTGACCAAAGAAAAACAACAAATAAAAATTAGCATTAAGGAAAAAAATACAATAGAATTAAGCTGGTGAAAGTAATTTCCATCTAAATATTCAGTAATAAATCTAACTATATAGAACAGTAGTACATAACGTACAGTGCACCAGGAAAGTCTCACCGCATCGAGCTAAGTCAGGGCATCCTATTAAAAGTTGTACTTATGTTGGTAGCAACCAGATCAATGGTATACAAGTGAAGGAGACAACATATCCAGCATCTGTTATGATTATGGTGAGTACACAATTTATGTTTTCTTTTGTTCCAAACTGCAGTTCATGCTATCAACATAATTTTTGTTGCTAGCACTCTCACCAGTAAGGTTGGGAGAGTTTACTGCCACACTATATGTCTTATGCTAGTAACAACCTAACTATAATTAGCAATGCTTATTAATCTATCACGCAAAATAAGTAAAATGTTCTTCTAATATTGTCCCAATATCAACTATTTGTATAAAATAAAATTATTTATTAGAGGCGCTATGGTGTTTAAAGCAACTCAAGTAGGAGACAGTTAATGGAAAATGAAAGTTCTCTTCATATTTTTCTAATAATTAGTTTCTTATTAAGTAGGGCTGAAAGAACATTAACTTCAAAAATATCAAGTGACTTTTTCTTCTGAGTATCAGAAGCTCGATAAAGATGTTCAAAAAAGTCAATTTTCTACTCATGCTTTGCAATTTCCGGATTTGGTTTCATTATCAATTATTTCATGGTATTTGCAATTTACAGTGATCCTTATTGGTAGATCAAAACATGGGTAATTCTAAAACAAAAAGAAAATGAGGAGTTGAACCAGTCCACAATATTTATAACTGACACTTAATGTAGAACCCAATGGGAAAAGAGAGAAAGAGAAATGAGAGCAAAATATCAAAATAAACCAATCTAATTTGGGGGAATAGAAAAATTCAGAAATGAATTGGCAAAAACAATGAGATGAATGAAACAAAAATGATATGCTTTCTAAGTTCACAGGTAATGACATTCTTTATAAGTTAGAACCTATTTGAAAGCATGACAGAGGCAAACTGATGAAATGGCAGGAACACATTGCAACATAAGACTTGGGAAATCATTTTTATTCTATTTTCTTTTTAATTTTTTTAAAATTTGTTTGTTTTTAACCACAGGGAGACAAATGTATTCAATTTGATAAATATGAGAAAACAATTTTAAAGTTTCAACATTATCATCATCATCATCCAACACAAGAACAACAACAATAATTTTAAGATATATATGTGTTGTACAGTCAAATGACATTATATCATCAAATCAATAATGATGAGACAAAGTTAATATATCACATTAATAATGAATAAAAGGCACAATATTTGTCTTTCTTATAAACAAAATGCAGTGTGAGTTGTTTCTCATTCATTTTAAGATTTCCTTTTTTATAAATGTTACCCATCAAATTACTTGCACTATCTTTAACAAAAACTTCCGTCAGTACCATACCGACCTAGGAAAATATACCAAGGATTTAACACGAAACATGATAAGGAACACTTATTATTGTATTTTTTTACTCGAGCCACAGCACAAAATCAAGAAAGCTCTCAATAAAAATTAATTTAGGAATGCCTACCTGGCATTGCTGTATTTTGCAAATTCCCGCTACCTCCCTGCAGCTACTATTATATTGCGCGCCGCGAAACTACCTAAATGTACCACCAGATGTCGTTCCAAGAGAAATAATGTGATTACATAGTGCCCCATTCGAATTTTAATTTATTATTGCTTATTGGGGCATTATATCCGAAAAGTTTTTTTGATAGCATATCCTTAAACTATGCGTAATAATAAACAAAAACGCAGTTTACAGTCATTATGATGGCTCATGGGCAGCGTACTGGCTTCCCGGGTTCGATTCCCTATCGTGGCAAAAATAGAGTTGTAGCATTTCTTTAAAATCGTTTCAGTTTCTGTAGATGTGTGACGAAGAAAAACTCAGGCATGCGGAATTTGCATACATAAATACAAAGTTTCTGTGTTGCTCAAACTTAACGATACAATCGCAGGAAATTATCTCATAGTTTAAATCGACGTGTCAATAAGGCCGTCATAACAAAGTGTGGAATGTTCGCAGTTCCAGCTCGTACTTCGAAAAGAGACACAACAATACGACTGTTCAATTAACTTCCAGCTATTCGGTCCCAATTCAGAGGATTTCCGTCTATACTCCATGGATATGGTTGTTCTGAATTATGACGAATAACACTGCTGGAAAATGAAATAGCATTTTACAACTTGTCACGTTTTCACGATTCGTGTTAGCGATGCACTAGGGAGCAATTAGGGAGTAATCGTTCATTAATCACAATCCATAGTGGAGAGATACAATCTCTCCTCTATGTCACAATCAGTCACAGTTGTCAAGAGGACAGCTAGGTAGCCAACTCTTGAAAATTATCAAGATTACTAATGAAAGATTAATTGTATATTTGAAATATAATTTTCTATAACATACATTTGAGCACAAAAGGCTTTAAAATGGAAGAAAGTTGAAAAATGAACACTATTTGTGAGGATTTCGAAGAACACGGAATTTTTTCAATTTTCTGAAAAATAAAGCATACCTATTTTAAGTACAATACATTTAAGAAAAATGACGGTAAAAGAAAAATGTTTATGGAGATTTTTAAAGATTTAAAGGAGAATTATTTTAATGACAAGAAGATAGGATTCAATTTTTGTACAATTAAGAAACTCAGACCGGAATGAAATAATCTTTGACATCCGAGGACGCTGTTTCCATGGAAACGTGTTCTGATTTCTCTCTCGTTTCCATAGTGAATCCTTATATCTATCTTCAGTTGTAGCATGACCAACATTGGAATGCCTTACAACTTATAGTTATCAAGAAAATGCATCATTATCACACTTATTAATAATTTGGATGCGATTATTTTTATGCAATCATTTTAGTTCTCTCAACCAGTACCTCAATCATCGCGTATGTAGCATGTACAGACCATATGCTATGTCAATAATTATCATATTGGCAGTATCTGAAATACCAACATTCCAAAATATTTTGTGTGAAATTGTGTGGAAGAAGTAGGAATCGTAATTATCGAAATCTACAATTCCGTGTTATATGTTTCGACATTGTGTATCGTTCATAATACATTAATTTACATCTATTGGCATTATCTAGTATAACTTTCTAAATTTCATAGTTCCCAACATGGTGTTCTGCACTGTATTGTGGCTATCGTGGTTTACCACGATTGTTGTGGGAGTCGTGAAGAGATGAGAGATGTCGGCGTCGAAGTACCGTGTTTTTTACAATCTTTGTGAATGTAATACACCAAAAACTCAAGTTTTAAATATGGAACTGTAAAATGGCAGGAATGTTGCGTACGTACAGATATACACATTGTGTTATTAACCGTTTTTGAAGCAGAACATTACATTTTGTTTTCTGTTGCCCATTTAATTTTGAGTTTTTTAAGAATCCCTTGTAATTAATGTTTGAAACGTTATAGATCCAACTGGTTCATCCGTCGTTGTCGGGACAGACGGTAACCTGCCGTCCAGCTCTTTGCATTATCATAGACAAAGGCGGCCAAGTGGAGATAGTGACAGCACATCAGGGGGTGAACCCTCAAAGGAGACCAGTGATGAATATCATTTTGAAGAGCATTCACACCCCAAGGAGGTAAACTATCTTAAAATCCTGTATGCATTTATCTTGGTTCAACATATTTAAGGTGTGTTGAAGTACCAAAGATTCTGTGCTGGATTGGCATCTGTTCTTTAACAAATGTGTGTGCTGCAGTGTTTGGCAGTAAGCATTACAATTAAGATGAACACCTTAAACTGTATTGAAAATAAGTTTGTTAAGTTTCAGTTATGAGTATGTTTTTTATTGATCTTAAAATTTGATTTCATGGAAAATCGAAGACAATTTGATCAGGTTTTGAACACATTATATGTCTATGTTATTAGTAAAATTGGGATTACTGATGCATGTTGTTAAGGGGTAAAGAGTTAATGTGTTAGCATTGAAGCAGAGATTAGAGGAAATATATTTCAATTACTACAAAAGTCTATTATCTATAGTATATTATTATAAGAAGAAGAGAGATGTTAGAACAAAAACTTTAGAATTCACTTATCTTGCATCATGACAGTGACAACTCATTGATAATAACCTTTGAACTATTGGCAATATGCTCCAAAATTTCTTATTCATTTTTTTGCTGGATCTGTGTTCTTGGAATTTATTTACTAATAGGTAGGATTTTTACTTCAAATAAGATAATAAAGAAGAAATTAATGATAAGATTGAAAATAATGAATTTTAAGAAACATGAGGAAGAATTTTTTTTAACATTATGAAAAACTTATTAACTTACACATGTTTTTTAAAAAAATATTGGGAAATTAGATTAATAAATTACTAAAATTTGGGCAACAAGTTTTTATTATTTTCAAGAATAGATTGCATAATTCATGGAAAGAAAATGTTGACGTTAAACAGCAGCAGCCCCACCACATTGAATAAATGGTCATAGATTAAATTCCTTGAAGTGTACCATGGCATTTGATAATATATTACCTTGTACGCTAGCACATAGTGATAGTTGTCGTTAATTTATATAATGACCCTGGAAAGTTGAGTAGCAGAGATTGCTGGCACTTGTTTACCTACATGGTAGGGATATAACCAGGTGTGACTTTATAAGACTGTATACTGAATATATTGTTAATATTTTTTTGTAATATTATTTTTAATATTTATTTCTGATTTTATGACAATGTAAATTGAAGTAATTGAATTTCTGTAGAATTTAATTTATCTGCTGAAAATGTGAAATTTGTATTACAAAAAATGCCAGGTAATTTGTTTTTTAATTTTTTGTTTGAAATTCAATTTTATTAGAGATACTTGCTTATTGAGCAATTTTCTTAATTGAAAGGAATTGCACATAATCACTTCATTTATTTTTACTTGTAATAAGTGTTTATAATTCATTTAGTATTTCGTATTTTAAAGATTGTTTTGTGGTATAATGTTACAGGTCCTGCGTGGATTAAATGAGTTAAGAAAAGAAAACCATTTTTGTGATGTAACTCTGTCTGTGGACAATGTTAAGTTCCCTGCACACAGAAATGTCTTGGCCTCTTTTAGTCCTTACTTCAAAGTAAGTTAGGTTTGAGTATTAGAATAAAATGATTGGCAAGAATTATTGTATTTTATTATGAAGAAGAGTTGTTGGTTTTTGGGGTTTTTGTTTGTTTTTCTGCCGCTAGTTCTTGTAATATACTTGTTCATTTTCTGCAATTTAATTTCTTGTTCGTCTGTTCCTTCTTTCTGGCATTTATTTTCTAAAACTACTTTTTTAATTTTTCATCCTGTAAATTTTTCATAGTGTTTATATTAATGTGATGCAAGTATTTAATGTACTTAAAATGTTAAATGATTTGTGCAGGCAATGTTCACCAGCAAATTGGCAGAGTCTCGGCAATCAGTTGTGGTGGTAAATGGAGTAGAACCTGCTATGATGTCTTTATTATTGGAATATGCCTACACAAGTTCACTTACTATAACAAGAGCAAATGTTCAGTCTTTACTCTCTGCTGCAAATTTACTGCAGATCCTTCCAGTTCGTGATGCTGCTTGCTCCTTTCTTGAGTGGCATATGGATACAACAAATTGCGTGGGCATTCATTGTTTTGCAGAAACTCATGCGTGTACTGTGTTGCAAGAGAGGGCACGACAGTTCACACTACAGTATGTATTTTAACAAATTAAGTAATTGATTGCATGGATCTTGGGAAAGCCTGTAGATTGTGCACTGTAATGTTTTAAAATGGCTGTTTCCATGATACTGTCTAGTAACTTTTATATTCCATTTTAGTAATGGAAAAATGGTTCATTTAGTGATCTGGAAGGTAAAACTATGCATGGATAGTGTTTCTCAACCTCCACAATCTATCAAAGGTTTGCAGCAATAGGACTGATGGTCCACAGGATGTCAAATTGATAAGTTAACATAATAAATATTGCATGTCAAATCAAGGGTTAAAGATTTAGTTAATAGTAATCTAAGTCTTTTTGAACCCTTGAGGGCAAAAGTGATTACAGTTCTCGCTCAGAACTACGTTTTGATATTCAAAAAACACTTGAACTGTATTTCTTTACATGCCTGAAGTGCATGAACGTTGCCTTGCCAAAGTTCATGTGTTCCCTGCTGGGAGACCACACTGGTAAAGATAGAAGAGGAATAAGGATATTTAGTTTATTTATCAAAAATTGATATCAGTTTCATTCAAAAACCCTTTTAGAGATAAAGTGTTTATAAAGCTCATCATTATTTCAGTTTTCTTCATTTTCATTATATAACAACAAAGCCATTAAATAAATTGGTTTTAAAACTCAGCATTATTTTATTGTTTTGAGCCTTGTGTGCAAAAATTGTTATTGATTATATGGTGCAAGTCAAATCGTTGTTTCAAATTGCTTTTTTGTACTTGTTTTGAACTACTTTAATTGTAGCTGGTGTAGTGATAAAAAGTTACGTTTTCGTATTAACTCCCATTTGGTGTGGACTGTTACTTAGGGTATCCAATTGCAGTATTATAATGGTACTAATAATGTAAATAACAGTTGTGAGAGGTGTAATATCTCCAAAATTAGAAGTGACTTACTTCACTTTTACTTTTAAGGGCTCATATATTGTAACTAAATAATTAATAATTTATTAAATTATCATTTTTTATTTTTTATTTGCCCTTATCTGTTTTTTTTTTATATTCAAACAACTTTGCCTCATTGTAAGGTAAAAAATGTATGTTATAATATAGTCCACTGCAAACGTCTTTAAAGCTCTTGTGCTATTTGGATTGAAAAGGTTGAGAAGTACTAGAAGCTAGAGGACTTAATGTGCAAGAATCTGCATTTGAAAAAGTTTAGTGTTTGCCAGCACATTTTTTAAAATTATTTGTAGTTTAGGGGCCCTTCCGCTACTACAGTCATTGAGGCCCACGAGTGAATATGTAATTGTAGTAGGTAGAAGATGATAACAATACTAAAGATAATGGAGAGATGGAAAAAGGAGAGGTGGGAGAAACACTAGGACCATGAGAAAACCTGCAGAGAGCTTACTTTGTCCTCTAAAAATTCCATATGAATTGGTTGGGGATCAAACTCAGGCACCTTGCCAAGACACACTCGTCTTCAAAATGCGATTTTACTAGAAGAAACTATATTACACTTCTGGAAATATATTTTTCTAAATTAATAAGAGTGTTTTCATTAAATGCAAAATATATGAATTCAAAAAAATAGAAATGCATATCTGTCTGTCTGTACTTGGTGCAACAGCCTGCGATTAGGCCAAGTCCTACCAGCAGCATCCCTGGCCTTGCGGCCATGGGTTTATGGAATATGTGTTAAAATGAAGACATCTGTAGGCCGTATTCTTGTCTTCTCTTCATGAGAAGTGAGTTTTCTTGTCACACAGCAACATATACTGGGATATTCCTAGGAAAATGTACACTATAATTGTGCCTGACCAGGAATTAAACCCAAGGTCACGTCATAGAAAGTGAGTACACTGCCCAACGAGCCAAACCAGGAGGACAGAAATGCATATACATACAACAATTTGCAAAGAGTTGTATTATAAATATATGTGATCACCATCATTGGTATTTTAACATCAGTTAAACCCCTAAGGCTCACATTAAAGAGCCCTGCCCTCAGTTTAGCCTCCGGCCATTTAACACCCTGGGGCACTTGCCCTGGCCTCCCAGCACACCAAACTGGCTCTTACATCCATAACTGCCCTCACCAACTTGCAGCTGAAGCCTGCAGGCCCATAATGACACTTGAATTTACGTTCAGGAAGTAAAGCTGCAGACTGATGCATGCACTCATCACAGTGTATAGACCCATTGACATTGCTTTCCCTATCTATCTACTGGCTGTCATACTTTGGCCTCTTGTATATTGTTTGAGCAAGGGGAAGGAAAGGGAAGGAATGGATGTTTTATTAGGTATTGTATGATAGTGCCCCAACAATGCGAGAGGCAGGATTTGAACATGTGATCCTTCGAGTTGAGACTCCTAAGGCACATACACCTTGGCAATCACCGCTACCCATATTGGCTATTGTGCCCAATCATACATTATATAATTATTATTATTATCGTTGTTGTTGAGCACTGGTATACATTTCTGTATCGCCTTAATGTCGTCGGATTCTCTGCATCATTTAATGAAAGCTTCAAGCTGAGTAGAAAAGTGAATTTGCTATATACATCCAATCATTCAAATCTTTCATTAATTTCATGATAATTTCAAGTAAACCTATTGATCTAGTGTATTTTATTTGCTTTTCTGATTTCATCTTTTAATTTGAACCATTATAACAATAAATGTAATAAATGAGGCCATATTTCTCCATTTTGACATTCCAATATTAACAAAGTATTGTTCTTTCTGGAATGATTATCAACACACAAAAATTAACAAAGCTGAGTATCCCTACATTATGATGCTGAGTAGTTGCATGTGATTGATGCAGCTTATGATGCAAAGTAGTTGCATAACGAGAAAAAATGGTGCCCAGGGCAAGCCCTTACCATTGGGTTCTCCTATGTATGGTACAGCAATCTTGTTTGGTTTATAGTTTGTAAGTGAATGAATGCAACATGAAATACAATGTAGACACAAAAAAGGGGGGAGGAACACCTTTACAATGTTTGAAAATACAGAGTTCATCAAAAATGGGAACTGGGTCAATTTTCTAACTTAAATATAAAGTACATTGAAAATCAAATTATCCACTGCAAATTCTCAGGGCCTTGAGTTGAGCCAGATTAATCAGGGAATGTCAGTTTTGGAGGAAAAACATTTAGGCTGTAATGTTGACTACAGACAGACAGACATTTTTCCTTTTCCCATTTTATTTTTTATCAGGAACTAATAAAAGAGGATTCTAAATCCACAATGTATTGGAGCAAGAAATTTCCTGTGCATAATAGCAAGAATTACTCGGTTGTTCGGTATCAGAACCTCACTATACAACTTTCGCTGTGATAAAAAAGCACTGTCCACTTTCCGCTGCAACAATGTTTTCTCTTTACTACATAAATGCATAGTAAGCGAGAAATTAAAAATTGTGTGTTATGTAACAAAATATACCATTACCCAAAATTCTATAAATTAAATGAGTGAAAACCAGAACAGTATAAGTGACATTTTATACAATTGGAAAAATCTATTTTAATTAAGTCAATATTACTATAAAGTCGTGATGCTTTGTTTCATCATTGAAACCACTACATTTCAATTCTTCATTAAAACCATGAAAATACATTGCCACTGAAATATAGCCTAAAGTAAACAGGTTTTTCTCAGAATTTATAAAACATCACTTACTCTGTTTTGGTGTTCATCCATTCAATTGTAATAAATTTTTCTTTTTTGCTACGGTCAAAAATGTGCCCCCTGATGGTAGTGCCTGCCTGCCCAATCTTGGTTATGCTTAATCAAAGGGAGTTACTTCAGTACTAAAGTGGGATATTGTGAAGTATTTGATTGTTCAAAGAGTATAACATTTGGAATATTCCTCAATAATTGGTACTACGATTTCCTTTAAAAAAAAAGATATATTTTGCATAACAAATAATTCATCTGTGAATTATAATTTAAAAAAAAAATGTATCTTTTTTATTAAACTAGAATTTGCCCTTCACTCACTCCTAAAATTGGTACCCTAGGATGTCCCCCCCCCTTGTTATGCCCCTAATAATTTGTGTGTAATTATATCCTATACTTATAATGATTATATTGACTCCAGAAATATTCTAGTTCTGTAAGAGACCCTTTCCTTGATGGTGATCATTGTGATTGTAATAAAATTAATCGATTATCTTTGTTGATCATGCACTTGTGTTCTAATGATTTTATATATCGATATTGCAATGCTTTTAATGCTGCTGATGAAAGGCTGTTGTATGTTAAATTGTGATATTGACATAAAATTTCTAATTATTTGGTATACATTTCAATTTGATTGTTCTGGATATTTTTGATTTTGTTATTGAAGGAACTTTTCAGAAGTGGGGAACGGGGAAGAGTTTTTGGGCCTTTCTCCTTCAAAAGTTGTGGAGTTCATCAGCAGTGATGATCTGGTTGTAGATAGAGAAGAATCTGTATTTCAAGTGGTGATGAGATGGTTTATGCATTCACCAGAGCCAAGAAAAATTGAATTTCACAGGGTGTGTTTTATTTGCAAACTTACACAAATACAATTTACTTCTGGTTTCTTTTTATCCTTTATGTAAATTGTTTATTTCTACTTCTAGGTTCTGGAACATGTGCGTTTACCTCTAATAAGCCCTTATTTTTTACATGATTGTGTGGAGAGTATGCCAATTATTAGACAGTCTCCTGAGTGCCGTCATTTAGTAGAGGAAGCAAAAATGTTTCATCTTCTTCCTGATAGGAGAACACAGATTTCTACTCCTAGAACTAAGTTAAGAAATAATTCATCTACTGTTACTGTGAGTACATTAAAAATAATGTATTATATCTTTTATTGTAATGATTGTTTCGGTTGTGCAAGTACCAAGAGACATGTTTTTTAATTGCTGGATTTGAATTTTGATTCAGTTTTTGTCTTGGAAACTTGGCATTAAAGAGATCCAGGTTTGAATATTAAATTTAGATTTATTTATAATTCTGCAATTAAGTTTGAGAATTTGGTGGCAGAATACACTAAATTAACATTACAGAACTTAACAACTTCACAAAATTTACAAACTTTACAAATAAACATGAACATTACACTGTGCAATCTTTCATAGCACTCCACTTCACCGCACTGCGAATCACGGAGCTGTAATGTCTTTGGTACACACTCATTTCCCTCAGTTTCACAATGCCACTGCACTTCACATAATTAATGATAACAACAAAAACAATAATAATAATAATAATAATAATAATAATAATAATAATAATAATAATAAATTACATAGAAGACATAATTACGTACACTGAATAATATTAAATATATTTATAACACACATATCAATATTTGGAAAGCTAATTTATTTTTAAATTTGCTCAGGCTTTAAGGAAAGGGATCGAAGATTGTCACAGGCAAACCGTTCCAGTCTGTAATAATTCAATTCACGAATGAATATTTCCCAATGTCCATTTTCTGAATTTTTGTCTGAATTTTGTGCATGTGATCCGCTCTGCTGAAATATATAGGTTTCCCTAATCGACTTGCAATTTCTTTCCACACTCAAAGGCCTGTGATTGCTTTATACATTGCATAGAGATGTGACTTTAATCTCCTCCTGTCGAGTGCTACTATTGTGCCTAGAGATTTCTGATTATTCTGAAGATAATAAAATTGATCCTAAAATGTTCATGTCATCATTCATCTTACGAGATTTGGATTATAATAACAATAATATTATTATATTTATTATTATTTATAGAATGTTTTTTTCCCTGTTGAAACTGATGATGTTGAAATAGGTGGAAATGCTGGATGTAAGTAGGTCAGAATCATTAATCTTCAATAGGTACCAGAAATTAATGTTTCTTGTAGATCATTTATTGTTGTACTCCAAAGTGCATCGACTGTTGCATCCAGCATATGTTTTATACATGCTTCCAATGTAGACTCCTCATATAGCATACTAAATTTTTAATCGTGTAAATGTGTTTAAAAAAAAATTAAGACCTCAACTTGATGTCGGTAATTTTGAGATTTTGAACATTTTTATCCTGTGATATTAATTGTCAACTGAAATGTAATAATTTTAACTCTGTATATCTGTAATTCCTCTTGACAAGGTGCACACATAGTGCATGAAACATCGGGGTAAAACAATGATTAATAAGACACATTTATTCCCAGAATCTATCGAAGATTGATCCTACTTGGTCCCGACCTTCATCCAGCATTTCCACCTATCTCAACATAACTATTGTTATTAACATGCAGGCTATTTCTGACCATGCTAAACGTTATCTTTCAAGGGCCCGGATAGAGGAGTGTGTCTAATTATGGGGATCAACTTTTTACGGCTAACAAAATTATCCAAAATTCTATGATTCGAAGTTAAAACTACTTAAAAGTATCACTGCTTTACCTACTAAGTAGTCACTTGCAGATTTTCCAGGTTATCCACTTGCAATAACATAGTGTTTGAGCTGCTAAAGTATGGAAATTATTTTAAGTTGCTATATCCTTTTTGCTGGGTTGGATTATATTAAGTTTGCAGATATTTCTGTAAGCAAAAGAAGTGGTTTTATTTACCTTTTAATTATTGGCAAGAGAGACATTATTATAAAAAAAAGGATAACATTTATACATAAATCCTGGTATAATAATTAATAGGGAGAGTATTTTTATGCCCTAAAAAATCTTGAAATATTATTTTAAAAATATGCGTTTATGACCTAAAAATTCTGAAATCTGCAATGCAATTAAAATTAACAATATTTCATTTCCTGCATAAAACTTTCTTGATAAAATTCAGGAGAAGCATGCTTGGAATAAAAAGGTATATTTTTGTGCAAACATAATATAATTGACCTTATTTTGGGGGTAGAAATAATTAAAGTAAATAATTACTTTTGTGAAGTATATTGTATGTCCTTTTATTTCTTGGTTGCATTTCCTTGTTTAAAACAATATAATATTGAAAATTCCTGCATTTGCATAAGTATTTTATATTCTACAGAAAAGAAAACGGTAACAAGCTCTTTCTAATCGATGAACACTCACAAATAAATAGATACTATGAAAAGTGAAAACCTTTTAGAGATAAGTCTCTACTTTAACGAAATATGCAAAATATGCACATATAATCACACAAATATGCACAAACAGGGAAAATCAGCCAAATATGCACTAACACATTAATCTACATATCATCCAATTCTAACTAAATGTCAAGAATTTTAATGTAGCTATGGCCTGAAGCAACAGACAAAATTATGCAAAATCATAGAAATCCGCTTCCTTGTAATTAATGATATGAATACATACTTTCTCTGGTTCTTGATTTTTCATGTTCTATAGTATATA